ATCTTCTAAAAGTTATAAATTTATTTCAAACTTTTATCCATTGTGATATCTATACATGAAAACAAAATAATATATATAATGATGAACATATTTTATTTATTATTTTACAATTTTATCTATTATTACATGTATGTATAATTATAAGTATATAATTATATAATATATAATTATTATATATAATTAGTATATAATTATTATTTATTTAAGTATATAATTATTATTTATTTTGTAATTAATTTGTAAATAATGTAGTAATCGGAGATAATTTATCGAATAAAATTTTTCTATAAAATGTTATGTAGATGCTAATTGCTCATTGAGAATTATTCATTTGAGAATTAACTTTCCTAATGCGATTTAGTTTGAAGCACGAATAGTTGTGATATCATTATCATGAAAGTAAAAAATATATAATTATTATCCATAATATCTTTAAAAAAAAAAAAGAAGAAAGAAATCAGTATCAAAAAGAAGTTAATGTATAAAATTAAGAATAAAATCTAAAAAAAAATTAAAAATATTTTTATTTAATAAGAAAATATTTTTATTCACATTAGTATTCACGTAAGTATTCTAGTAATAATTTCGTAATTTTATAAATATAAATACAATATAAAGCTTAATTTATAATAGATACAATTGTGGATCAATAATTAGTAAGAAAGATATGAAATTGAAGAAAATTATTTCTGTTTATGAATTTTTAATTGTAACACTAACTTTAATAATAACTTAAATTACAATATAAAAAATAATTATAATATAAAAATAATTTAAAATATTTGTGTATTTAATAGAATAAGTATTATTTCAATTTTTATATGATTTATAATAATCTTTAATATTTGATTTGTTACATAATTAGAAAAATAATAAAAGAAATAATAAGAATAATTTAAATTATTTACAATAAATACATATATTTTTATTAATATATGAAAATTTATTTATTTTCATTTTCTTTTATAAATCGTAATTGAAACTATAATTTCATTTCTTATCCAATATTTTGATAAACATTTTTCAACGCGTACAAAAATATTTTCATATTTAAATAGCAATTCTTTGAATATAACAATATATTTATTTGAGCAAATTGCAATATGTCAACTATCAAACAATTGAGTTCAGACAGTACAATATTGATTTGTGAGAAATACTCTCGAAAGCAATTCACAATAATATTTATTTAAATGGATAAAATATTCAGATTATATATGTTTATTATTATTATATCAATTTATTTTATTATAAATGTACAATTATTTTTGATAAAATAAATTTAAAGAATTAATTAAACATTTACAATAATTAAGAGAAATATAAAATGAAAATATATAATTTATAGTTTATATATAAATATTATAATGATCTCGAAATTTGTCAAGCAAAAAATTATTTGTTAAAAGTTGATTCTAATTACAATTGTATTAAATATAATTAAATTGTATTAATATTCGTGTAATACTTTTCGAAAGTCGATTTCAAAGATTAAAATAAACACAAAAATTATATAAAATTAATTATATAATTATATAAATATGTTAATTAAACTTATTTATTAAAATATAAATAAATTGGATTTTTATGCAGTCAAAATAAACTCATAATGTTCAATAATATATAAAATAAAATAATGTAAAAAATCTGTCTTGTTATTTGAAATATATTAAATATATTTATAAAATATTAGTAATTTTATACAAATTTAATAATTTAATAAACATTGAATTAGCAAAATAATCATCTACAAAATAATATATTTTTGTCCTGTTGTTTCTTTTATAATATACTATTTAGAATCAATTTTTAATATTATATCATAATCAAAATTTTTATTCATGATTAAATTTGCGTATAATATTTAATTATCATACAAATAAAATCAATTAAGTAAAATAAGAATAAGAATAAGAATAAAAATAATATAATTACATATTATTATTAAATTCTGTGTCCATTTTATCTAAACGCAAAATAAAATTGCTTAAAATAATTTAATAAATCTTAACTTAAATTTTTAACTTTTATATTTGTTTTAATCTTTAAAAATTAACAAAAAAATAATATACATGTATATTATATATATCGATATATTATATATATTATTTATATATATATAAAATAATAAAATACATGTATATGAATTAACCTAAAATAATTATTTTATAAACAAATAAAAAAGGGAAAAAGTTATTTTTAACAATACAATTTTTAGCATATTTGATAAATAAAGTTTTTATAAAGAAGTTTTAGGAAAAAAATCTTATTTTAAATATTGGCATAAAATTAAAAAAAAAAAATGAATAACATATTAAAATGATAAAAATATAAAATGAATAAAATTATAGAACAAAAAATAATTTATTTAGTCACTTTATTCGATGTTATTTTATCTTATTCGATTTTTTCGTGTATTTTATTAATTTATATAATTTTATTAAAATTTCGTATATAAATTAACAATAAATTTCATTGGAAAAGACATATCTAATTTCTTTCATTATATTATTTATTATTATTAATAATATATTATTTCGTAGTTTCGTAGTTTTGATTACTTATTTTATTTTTCATAATGGAATAAAATAAATTTCTTTATCTTATAAATCTTTATTATATAAAAATATATTTATAGATAAAAGGATATAAAATTAATTCCATTGTTTTATAAAGAAATCTATTTAAAAAGTTAAGAATTAAAAGTTAAAAAGCATATGATTATTTTTTATTAATTCATTAATTCAATTATTCTTTTTAATTTTCAGGTGCCGGCGAATCTGGAAAAAGTACCATCGTTAAACAAATGAAGTAAGTACTTAAAAAATATATATTTATTGTTCGAAATTATAATATAAATTATTTTTGTTTTTTCTTTATTTTTTCTTTATAATTTAAAATATTTATTAATAAATTCCTTTAATAAAAAATTCCTATAATAAATTTGAAATTATGGCATGTAATAATTTGTTTATTAAAAACAACTACTAATGTTAAAATTAATCTGATTGATATATATATATATATAAATTCAATTAAATTTAGGATCTGTACCAGTATTTATTTAATTTGATTTTTAATCTTTAAAATATTTTTTAAGATAATTTTCCAACACACGCCATAATTAATTTTAATTTATATAAAAAATTATATAATGAGAATTTTTATACTTTTTATACTTATTACTAAAGTTATTATATAACTTATACACATATATATAATATATATATTATATTGTATATATATAATATATATATATACAATATATATAATATAATATAATACAATAAATAACTTATTTTATTATACTTATTATAACTTATTATAATTTATCAAAATTCTATTTTTAATATTTCATTAATATTTTTTTAAAATAGATTCATTTTTTTTTATTCATTTCTAAAAATAATTTAATTACATTTATATCCTATTTTAAAAATGCATTTTTATATAATTAAATATTTTATACAATTAAAAATTTTTATATAAAAAAAAATAA